TCGAGGTGCTACCCCCCCAATTTTTGGGTGCTCCCCCCCATTTTTGCGGTGTTGCTCCCCCAATTTTTGGGGTGCTGATCCCCCAGTTTTTGGGCTGCTGAGCCTCCAGTTTTTAGGCTGCTGCCCCCCAGTTTTCAGGGTCGTGACCCCCCAGTTTTGGGGTGTTGACCCCTCATTTTTTGGGGTGTTGCTCCCCCAATTTTCAGAGTGCTGACCCCCCAGTTTTGGGGTGTTTGCTCCCCCAGTTTTTGGGGTGCTGACCCCCCAGTTTTTGGGGTGCTGAGCCTCCAATTTTCAGAGTGCTGACACACCCCAATTTTGGGGTGTTTGCCCCCCAATTTTGGGGTGTTTGCCCTCCAATTTTGGAGTGTTGCTCCCCTAATTTTTGGGATGCTGCCCCCCCAATTTTCAGGGTGCTAACCCCAATGTTTTGGGGTGCTGCCCCCCCAGTTTTCAGGCTACTGACCCACTCCAATTTCTGGGGTGTTGCTCCCCCAATTTTCAGGGTGCTAACCCCCAGTTTTTAGGGTGCTGCCCCCCTATTTTTGGGGTGCTGCCCCCCAATTTTCAGGATGTTGCCTCCCCATTTTTAGTGTGCTGCCCACCCAATTTTTGGGGTGCTGCCCCCCCAATTTTCAGGGTGCTGCCCACCTAATTTCAAGGTTCTGCCCCCCAATTTTCAGGGTGTTACCCCCCCCCATTTTTGGGGTGCTGCCCCCCAATTTTCGGGGTACTCCCCCCCGTTTTTGGGGTGCTGACCTCCCTGTTTTCCCCCCCCCCAGGAGAAGGTGGCCGAGCTGTCGGGGGTCCCCCCCCAGGCCCAAGTGCTGCTGTTTGCTGGGACCCCCCTGGAGGATGAGACGGTGCTGGGGCAGAGCCCCCTCCCCGAATTGGCCACCCTGGACCTCTCCACGCGCCTGCTGGGGGGTAATTAATCCCCCCCCTTAATTAACTCCCCCTTAATTACCCCCACAGACCCCCCCACCCCTTAATTTGTTCTCTTCCCCCCCCAGGGAAGGTTCATGGATCCCTGGCACGTGCTGGCAAAGTGAGGGGTCAGACCCCCAAGGTGAGAACCCCCCCCCCCTTTGGGACCCCCCCTCCCAGGGGTTTGGGGACCCCTCGGGACCCCCCTCCTGGTCTGGTGCCAACTGGTGCCCACCCCCTGGACCTGGCTCAGTCCTAGTGCCCACCAGTGCCTCCCAGTGCCCACCAGTGCCTCCCAGTGCCCATCGGGGTCCATCCCAGTGCCCACCAGTGCCTCCCAGTGCCCATCGGGGTCCATCCCAGTGCCCAGCAGTGCTTCCCAGTGCCCACCAGTGCCCATCCCAGTGCCCACCAGTGTCTCCCACTGCCCACCAGTCTCTCACCCTGTGCCCCCCATACTCCCTGTGCCCCCAGTATCCATCCCAGTGTCTCACATTGTGCCCATCCCAGTACCCACCAGTGCTTCCCTGTGCCCACCGGGGTCCATCCCACTGCCCAGCAGTACCTCCCTGTGCCCACTGGTGCCCATCCCAGTGCTCGTCCCAGTGTCCATCCCATGCTCATCCCAGTGCTTACTGGTGCCCATCCCAGTGCCCCCCATACTCCCAGTACCCACCAATGCTCATCCCAGTGCCCCCCATACCCACAGTGTCTACCCCATGCCCATCCCAGTGCCCACCAGTGATCCCAGTGCTCTCCAGTGTCCCACCCTGTGCCCATCCCAGTGCCCCCCATACCCCCAGTACCCACCAGTGCCCATCCCAGTGTCCATCCTAGTGCCCACCAGTGTCCATCCCAGTGCCCACTGGTGCCCATCCCAGTGCCCAGCAGTACCCCCTGTGCCCACTGGTGTCCCTCCCAGTGCCCACCAATGCTCATCCCAGTGCCCCCCATACCCACAGTGCCCACCAGTGCCCATCCCAGTGTCCATCCTAATGCCCACCAGTGTCCATCCCAGTGCCCACCAGTGCCCATCCCATGCCCATCCCAGTGCCCCCCATACCCCCTGTGCCCACCAGTACCCACCTGTGTCCCACCCTGTGCCCATCCCAGTGCCCCCAGTGCCCCTTTAGCCCCCCCAAATGTTTTTGGGCAGGTGGCCAAGCAGGAGAAGAAGAAGAAGAAGACGGGCCGTGCCAAGCGGCGCATGCAGTACAACCGGCGCTTCGTCAACGTCGTGCCCACCTTCGGCAAGAAGAAGGGCCCCAACGCCAACTCCTGAGCTCAATAAAGAGATTTTGGGGCCGATTCCCCTCATTTCGGTGGTTTTGGGTCTTTATTTTTGGGGTTTTGGGTCTTTATTTTTGGGGGTTTGGGGGGGTTTTGGGGGTTTTTTGGGTATTTTGGCACTTGCAGCACAACCGGAGCTTCGTCAACGTCGTGCCCACCTTCGGCAAGAAGAAGGGCCCCAACGCCAACTCCTGAGCACAATAAAGTGATTTTGGGGCCGATTCCCCTCATTTGGGTGGTTTTGGGGTCTTTATTTTTGGGCTTTTGGGGATTTCAGGGGTTTTTTGGCGCATGCAGCACAACCGGCGCTTTCTCAATGTTGTGCCCATCTTCGGCAAGAAGAAGGGCCCCAACGCCAGCTCCTGAGCACAATAAAGAGATTTTGAGGCTGATTCCCCTCATTTGGGTGGTTTTGGGTCTTTATTTTTGCTTTTTTGGGAGTTTTCTGGCTCACACAGCACAATTGGTACTTCCTTGAGGTTGTGCCCACCTTCGGCAAGAAGAAGGGCCCCAACGCCAACTCCTGAGCACAATAAAGAGATTTTGGGGCCGATTCCCCTCATTTGGGTGGTTTTGGGTCTTTATTTTTGGGTTTTGGGGGGGGTTTTGGGTTTTTTTGGGTATTTTGCCACATGCAGCACAACTGGCACTTGGTCAATGTCGTGCCCACCTTCGGTAAGAAGAAGGGCCCCTATGCCAACTCCTGAGCTCAATAAAGAGATTTTGGGGCCGATTCCCCTCATTTGGGTGGTTTTGGGGTCTTTATTTTTGGGTTTTGGGGGTTTTTTGGGTATTTTGGCGCTCGCAGCACAAACGGCACTTGGTCAACATTGTGCCCGCCTTTGAGAAGAAGAAGAGTCCCAATGCCAACTCCTGAGCACAATAAAGCGATTTTGGGGCCGATTCCCCTCATTTGGGTGGTTTGAGGTCTTTATTTTTGGGGGTTTGGGGCTTTGGGTCTTTTTGGGGGGGGGTTGGGTTTTTTGGCTCGCGCAGCACAACTGGCACTTGGTCAACGTTGTGCCCGCCTCTGGCAAGAAAAAGGGTCCCAACGCCAACTCCTGAGCCCAATAAAGGAATATGCGACAGCTTTCCTCCATTTTGCTGATTTTTTGTCTCTTTTGGGGTTTTTTTGGAGGGGTTTTTGGGGTTCTTTGTGCACGCAGCACAACCGGCGCTTCTTCAACATTGTGCTCACCTTTGGCAAGAAAAGGGGCCTCAATGCCCAAACCCCCCACTGACCCCCTAAACCCCCCAAATCCCTTCAAAACCCCCCAAAACCCTTCAAAACCCCCCAAAACCCCATAAAAACCCCCCAAAACACCCCCCGCCGTTCCCACCTCACCCGCCAGGGGGCGCCCTCCACGCCCCTGTTCCCGCCCTTTTTCCGTTTTCCCGCCCTTTCCCCCTTAAGCCCCGCCCCCCTTCCCAGCATACCCCGCGCTCTATTTAAGCGCGCGTGAGGCGGTGCCGCGGCCATTTTGTCTCTGAGGCGACCGCGGGAGGTGAGTCCGAGGTCGGACCCGTCCGTACCCGGAGGGGCCTCTGAGGGGTCTCTGAGGGGCTGCGAAGGCCTCGGCAGCCGCCTTCACCCTCCCCGGGCCGGTGAGGGAGCGCCCGGCGGCGCCGTTCGCCTCAGGGCGCCGCCATTTTAGAGCGCCCTGAAAGGGCTCCTGGAGGGGCCGGAGCTTTCCCGAGAGTCCTTCCAGGGGCTTCTCGGAGCTCAGAGGGGGGTGGCGGGGCCGCGGGGGCTGCTCGGGGATGAGTCTCTCACAGACCTGTGCTGACCACTCGGGTGAAGAGGTTTGAGTTCTCTGAGGGCTCGTCCTGCCCCGGCCTGCGGGTTGGTACATTGATATTTACAATAACTGTGTTTCTGACGGCTTCTTTTTGTTGTATTTTTAGGTTTTTAGGCTGCAAAATGGTGCCTCTGCGGAAGGTGAGCTTTAAACCCAGTTTTTAGGGTGTAAAAAAGCTGGATTTAATTAAAAAAGGCAGCAGTGCTGCGGGGATGATGCACTGAACTCTCTCTTGCTGATGATCTGGTGGAGAAGCTCCTGAAACGCTCTGAGTGGCACTGAAAGGAATTTGGGGGGGTCCAGACCCCTGGGGGGGATTTAAACCATCAAAAGGGGGATGAGACCCTCCTTTAAATCTTATGGGGAGCTTTAGATTCCCCTCATGGGGGATTAAACCCTGATGGGGAGGGGTTTAGAGGCTTAGAGCCTTTTAGGGGGTTAAAACCGCCTTAAAAAGGTGGAAAACCCTCATGGGGGGGGGTTAAATCCTCATGGGGGGGTTTAGACCCTCTTGAAAGAGGAGTTAAACCCACGTGAAACTTTGACTCATGAGAGTCAAAGTTTGTCCCCTGGGGTGGTTTAGTGGGGTAATTTTGTTCCTAAATCACCATTTTAACCATTTTTTCCTTTAATTTTCAAGCCGTTGAACCGTCACTGGGGGTCCCCACAGCCCTTGACGAGGTGAGCACCCTCTTTATGCCTCCTTTTTTAGGATTTTCAGCCTAAATTTTTTGTGCTCTCCCCGTGGAGAGCAAGAAAGGCTCCAAAATCTCCCCCTGGGTGCAAATTTTGGGGCGTTTCCCCCTTTTTTTGGCTGTTCAGTGACGAGTGACAACGACAAGCATATGGCTGAGGGGCCCTGATGCCACGTGATTACTGAGAGCAGCTGGGGGTGGCTAATTAATTAATTAATAGTCGCTAATTAATCAGAAGTTTATAATTAATCTTAAATAATTTTTTGTTTTCCAGGGTTGGGGCAGCAGAAGAAGAAAACGTTGCGGGATGAGGCGACTCAAAGTCACCCCCAGACCACCATGAATTAACCCCAAAATGACCTAAACCCCCTCTGGGACCTCTCCCACAGGTCAGTGCCCCCCCAAAACCCCTCTAAGACCCCCCAAATCCCCTCTAAGACCCCCCAAAACCCCCCCAATCCGAAGCGATGACACCCCGGGCTGGAGGATGCGTCCGATGGCAGCTCCGAGTTACCAAAGCCCTGATCGGATTTGGGGAGGGGGTCAAAGCCCCCCCTGGACCCCTCAAAGGGGGTCTGGGCCCTCCCCTGACTCTCCTCTCCTCCCACAGATGCTCCAGTTGGGGATTCTCGGGGGTCCAGGTGAGTTTTTGGGGGACCAGGAGTGGGTTTTGGGGTCCCTCGGGGTTATAAAGTCCACACGGTGGGTTTAAAGATTCCAGGGGTGGGTTTGGGGGTCCCAGGGGTGGGTTTTGGGGTCCCCCAAGAGTTATAAACTCCACATGTGGTTTTGGGGGTCCCAGGGGTGGATTTTG